AAGCTCACAGAAGAGAGGAAATTATAAAGATTAGAGCAGAAATCAATGAAAATGAAACTAAGAAAATGATACAAAAAATAAACAAATCGAACAGTTGGTTTTTTGAAAGAATAAATAAAATTGATAAATCCTTAGAAAACCTTATCAAAAAAAAAATAAAAGGCTCAGATCCATGCAATCAGGAATAAAAAAGGCTAAGTCACAACAGTTCCAACAGAAATCAAGAGGATCATTAATACCTACTATGAGAACCTGCACTCTAATAAAATGGATAACACAGAAGAAATGGACAGATTTCTAGATACTTTTGAATTAGCAAAGTTGAATGCAGAAGATAGAAACATTTTAAACACTCCAATCTCTAGTTCTTTATGGCTGAGTAATAATCCAATTTATAGAAAAACCACATCTTCTTTATCCAGTTTCCAACGGATGGGCAAATAGGCTGTTTCCAAGTTTTAGCTATTACAAACTGTGCCTCTATAAACATGGTTGCTCATGCTTCTCTGTGATTTGATTCTTTTAGTTCGTTTGGAAAGATACCCAGCAGAGGGATGGCTGGGTCAAATGGAACCTCCAGTCCAAGCACTTTAAGTATCTCCATATTGATTTCCATAGTGGTTGCACCAGTCTGCACTCCCCCCAACAATGGAGAAGGGTTCCTTTCTCCCCACAACCCCGCCAACATTTGTTATTATGTGATTTCTTGATAGCAGCCATTCTTTGTGGGGTGAGGTGGAATCTCAGTGTTGTTTTCATCTGCATCTCTTGAATGATCAGTGATGTGGAACATTTTTTCATATATTTACTTGGTGCTTTTACTTCTTTGTATGAGAAATGTCTGTTCATTTCGGATGCCCATTTTTGAATAGGGACTTTATATTTTGGGGGGCTGATTGTTTTGAGTTCTTTATATATTCTTGATAATAGTCCTTTGTCTGAGGAACAGATTGTAAAGTTTTTTTCCTACATTATAGGTTGTCTCTTAGTTCTGCTGATGGTTTCTTTTGAAGTACAGATGCTTTTTAATAAGATGAGATCCCAGTTTTTTATTCTATATGCTAGTTCCCATGCTACTGAGGATTTGTTCATAAAGTGTTTTCCTATGCCAATGTCTTCTAGAGTTCTGCCTAACTTACCTTCCAGCAAGTTTAATTTTTCTGTTTTAATTTTTAGATCTTTAATCCATTTGGATTTTAATTTAGTTCATGGTGAAAGATAAGGGTCTAATTTTAATCTGTGGCAGGTTGAAATCCAGTTTTTCCAATACTATTAGATTCATTCATAGGAAAATGGATACATATTGAAGATATACTCCTAAGTGAAATAAATAAGGCAAACACTTGTAAATACCGAATAGTCTCTCTCATGTGAATAAAACTGCAATAATACAGAGGATCCTTATAAGATTACTGACATTCAGAAATGGAAAGAAAGGAGCTAATGGTGTAGGGAAGGTGGGATGGGTAGGGGAAAGGGTAATAAGGGAAAAGAAAAAATGTGAGATAATAAAAAGATGGAAATAAAGTGTTTGTAGATGGGGAGGGAGAGAAGGGACAAGGGGAAAAAATGAGAACTAAGACATGTCATGTAGAGGTACAAGATCCCAACAATGAATGTAACTGTACTTTATCCCTAAAATGTACCAATAAACTCAATTAAAGCTGAAGAAAACACTCCAATCACAATCAGTGAAAGTGAAAATGTAATTAAAAACATACCCAAAAAGAAAAGCCCAGGTCCTGATGGATTCACTGCTTAATTTTACAAGACATTTAGAGAAGATCTACTGCCATTACTCTTCAGACTTTTCAATGAGATTGAAGAGAAACAATACTTCCAAATTCATTCCTGGAAGGAAATATCACTTTGATTTCCAAACCTGGGAAAGATGGAATTACAAAAGAGAACTACAGGCCAATCTCCTTAATGAATATAGATACAAAAGAGAACTACAGACCAATCTCCATAATGAATATAGATGCAAAAATCCTCAATAAGATACTAGCAAACAGAATGCAGAGGATCATCAAGAAGATCATATATCCCGACCAAGTTGGATTTATTCCAGGGATTCAAGGATGGTTCAATATATGTAAATCAATTAATGCAATACACTATATTATCAAAGTCAAGGAAAAGAACCACAGGATCTTGTTGAAAGATGCAGAAAAAGAATTTAACAAAACTCAACACTCATGCATGATACAAACCCTGCAAAATATTGGAATAGATGGTCTATGTCACAATTTAATAAAGGCTGTCTATGAAAAACCATGAGCCAATATCATATTAAATGGCCAAAAACTGAAATCCTTCACGTTCAAATCAGGAGCAAGATAAGGATGCCCACTATCACCACTCCTCTTTGATATACTTCTGGAAACATTAGCCATAGCAATTTGACAAGAGAAAGAAATTAAAGCAATAAAGATAGGAAAGGAAGACGTTAAACTGTCATTATTTGCTGTTGATATGATACATTACATTGAAGACCCAAAAAACTCGACCAAAAGACTTCTAGACTTAATTGACACTTTAAGCAGAGTAGCTGGATACAAGGTCAACACCCAAAGATCAATAGCCTTCTTGTACCCAAACAAAAGACTCACTGAGAAAGAAATTAGGGAAATAATTCCTTTCACAATAGCACCCAAAAAATGAAGTATCTGGGAATCAATCTAATGAAAGAAGCAAAAGACCTCTGCACTGAAAACTACAACACTCTGAAAAAAGAGATAGAGGAGAATATAAAAAATGGAAAGATCTCCCCTCCTCCTGAGTAGGAAGAATCAGCATAGTGAGAATGATCATACTACCAAAACTGCTATACAGATTCAACACAATGCCAATTGAAAGTCCAACACAATACTTCACAAAGCTAGAAAGAAGAATCCAAAAATTCATTTGGAACCATGAGAGACCTAGAATAGCAAAAGCCATTCTAGACAACAGACACATGGCACCGGGTATAACAATTCCCAATTTGAAACTATACTACAAAGACACTGTGATAAAAACATCATAATACTGGCAAAGAAGCAGACCCGAGCATCAGTGGAACTGATTGGAAGACACAAAAACAACTCCAGATGCACTCAGCTACCTCATCTTTGACAAAGGAGCTGACAGTCCCCAGTGGAGGAAAGATAGCCTCTTTAATAAATGTTGTTGGAAAAACTGGATCTCAACCTCCCAATGATCAAAACTAGACCCTTATCTGTCACCATGCACTAAATTAAAATCCAAGTGGATTAAAGATGTAAACATAAAAACAAAAACACTAAACTTGCTGGAAGATAAGTTAGGCAGAACTCTGGAAGACAGCATAGGAAAAGACTTTATGAACAAATCCTCAGTAGCACGAGAAGTAGCAGAAACAATCAACAGCTGGGAGCTCATCTTATTAAAAAGCTTCTGCACTGCAAAAGAAACCATCAACAGAACAAAGAGACAACCTAAAATGTGGGAAAAAAATTTTACCAGCTGCTCCTCAGACAAAGGACTATTATCTAAAATATATAAAGAACTCAAAACAACCAGCTGCCCCAAATATAAAGACTCAATTCTAAAGTGGGCATCTGAAATGAACAGACATTTCTCAGACAAAGAAATAAAAGCAGCAAGTCAATATATGAAAAAAATTCTCCATATCACTGGTCATTCGAGAGATGCAGATGAAAACAACACTGAGATTTCACCTCACCTTGCAAAGAACGGCTGCTATAAAGAAATCACACAATAAAAAATGTTGGCGGGGTTGTGGGGAGAAAGGAACCCTTCTTCATTGTTGGTGGGAGTGCAGACTGGTACAACCCCTATGGAAGTCAATATGGAGATACCTCAAAGAACTAGGATTAGAGGTTCCATTTGACCCAGCCATCCCTCTGTTGGGTATCTTTCCAAAGGAAGTAAAAGAATCATACCACATTGATATATGTGCATCCATGTTTATAGTGGCACAGTTTGTAATAGCTAAAACTTGGAAACAGCCCATCTTCCCATCAATTGGAAACTGGATAAAGAAGATGTGGTTTTTCTATAAAATGGAATACTACTCAGCCATAAAGAATGAGAAAGTAGATACATTCATAGTTAAATGGATACATTTTGAGGATATACTTCTAAGTGAAATAAATAACGCACACATATGCAAATACCAAATAGTATCTCTAGCGTGAAAAACTGAAATAGTACTCACTATCCTCATGGGACAATTAGCAAATAGGAAGAAAAGGACCAGAGGTGTAGGGACAGCGAGAAGGATAGGGAAGGGGAATAAGGGAAAAGGAAAAAAATATGAGAAAATATAATAATGGAAATAAGGTGTTTGAAGGGGGAGGGGAGAGCAGGGTGAAGGGAGGGTGGCGACAAGGGGAGAAAATCAAAACTAAGACCTGGCATGTAAAGGTAAAGGATCCCAATAATGAATGTAACTGTACTGTCTACCTAGAATGTACCAATAAATTAAATTTTAAAAAGTTTAGTGGTACATTTAAAGCAAATGATATAATTACATTTATCATTGGGGTCTTGTACCTTTACATGATATGTGTTGGTTCTTATTTTTTCCCCATATCCCAGCTCTTGCTTCATCCCCTTCACCCTTCTCTACTTACAAAGACTTTGTTTCTAATTTTTCCCCTTATTTCTTTACCTTTTAAGAAGAAATTATTCTTGAATACCATGAGTTGATTCATAACGTAAGAGAGAAATGGAAAAATACATGCAATACTATTTTTGAAAACTTAAAAGCATTAAAAAATATCAAACAAAATCTTTCAGGTAATGGACAGAGTCAAAACTTTTACAGAATGTTAAGTGCAATAGAACAGTTTAAATGGTAACCATGGGCATATTATCTAGTTCTCAGTTGCCCTCTTAAATAATATTTTCAGAGCACTCTTGATGTCTTTATTCCTTAGACTGTAGATGTAGGGTTTCAGCATGAGTGTGACCACACTATACATTATCGAGGCTGTTTCAGTTACATATGAGTTTTAAGTGACAGCAGAACTAAAGTACACACCTAAGCTTGTGCTATAGAATAAAGAGACCACTGAAAGGTGAGATGCACAGGTGGAAAATGCTTTATACTTCCCCTGAGCTGATGAGATTGCCCTTATGGAGGAAATCATCTTAAAATAAGAGTAGAGGATGCCAGCAAGGGGACCAACAGCCAACAGCACAGCGGCAACATATGTCACCACATCATTAGGTAATGGGTCAGAACAGGCATGGTGCACTATTTGATTAAGTTCACAGAAGAAATGTGGGATTTCCAAATCAGAGCAGAACAGTCGTAGCACCATTAAGCTGTGTAACATAGCATTTAGGACACTCAGGATCCAGCATGCTAGAACCAGCAACACACAGAGCTGGGGGTTCATGATGGCCGTGTAATGCAGAGGGTGGCAGATGGCCACATAACAGTCATAGGACATCACACTGAACAGAAAGTTGTCCAACATTATAAGTTGTACAAAAAAGTACACTTGAGTGATGCAACTTTCATAAGTTATGACTTTACTCTGAGTCTGGATGTTCACCAGCATCTTTGGCACTGTGTTGGACATGAAACTGTTGTCCACAAAGGACAGGTTGGAGAGGAAGAAGTACATGGATGTGTGCAGGTGGGAGTTTGACACTGTGGCCAGGATGATGAGCAGGTTCCCTAACTCAGTGACCAGGTATATGGACAGTAAAATTCCAAACAGCAAAGGCTGCAGTTCTGGATCATCTGAAAATCCCAAAATTCTTTGATTTGTGTGCAATTTCTTTATTCCCTATTATTGATGTAACCTGCAGAGAGAGAGAGAGAGAGAGAGAGAGAGAGAGAGAGAGAGAGAGAGAGAGAGAGAAAAGAGTAGAGAGAGGTATATCCATGGTTAATGACAAAATAGACATGCAGTAGTAACTTTACATAAATGCTATCACTTATTTTCTACATTTCCTACATTATTTTTACATTTCATGTAATTTTAGGTTCCCTTTAATGGATCAGTCTGCCATCTCTGGTGAGGAATTTCTTTTCAACATTCATCTCGCCATCCAGAGATCATGTGATCCTTTATTTTAATGAAAAACTCTTGGCATTATACAATTATAAATAAATATAAATCTTTTTAAAAGTACTGCCTAGAGGTCTGGGGATTCAGTGCTGTGGGACCACTGCCTGCCTCACAAGAACAAGGTCCCGAATTTGATCCATGGTACCAGAAAAAAATCCTAGATAACGTATTTACAGTGCAAAACACCAATTGTGCATATAATATAAGGATAGAGAAACTACACAAGCAAACTTTAAAACATTTGTAACATGTGAGACCAGAGCAAATGCCTGGAAGAAAAGGAAAGAAAATAAAAATAGAGTGGGATGTTTCGTACTTTTTCTTTTCTTTAAACTGACTTTCAGGAAAGACCCGTACATAGGATGACATTTGAACAAAAATCTCAAAGGACTATGAGGTGAGTGCCAGAAGGTTCTTTGGTTAAGTTGTGTCTGTAGGAGGAATAGACAGTGCTGGGCCCAGAAAACATGCATCACTCAGGTGTTCAAGGCCAAGAAGGAGGACTGTTACTGTGAAAAGGAGCAAGAGTTTGAGGAGTGACTCAGAAGAGGAGGTTGAGCATGCTGATCTACTAGAAACCTATAGTTGAATACTCATAGAGGCCATGAAGCACAGAAAGTAAGGGAGAAGAAGTGGGGTCAAATAGTAGCTTACATGAAAACACTGAGAAGAATTAATGTATAATACTGCATAGTATAATATTTATTATAATTAAAAATAAATTTTTGTATATTTCAAAATAGCTACAGATTATATTGAATGTCCCCACAGAGAAAGTAGTAAATGTTTCGGAATATGGATATTCTAACTACCATAATATCACATTTTACCACAATAACATGCAAAACTTTTATGCCTATTAAAACTAAAATGTTTCAAACATTTCTCACTGCAACCACATCTGTACCATAATTTCTTTTTTTTTTTAGTGTTACATTTTAGGTATACAATACAGTTACATTAATAATTGTGATCTTGTAGGTTGACATGATGTCTCCTCATTCTTATTTTTTTCCCCATCCTCTTGCTCTCCTTTTCACCCTCTCCACACTGGCCTATTAACAAAGACATTGTTTGCATGATTTTCCTTTCCTCATATTTTTTATTTTCCCTTTTTACCTTTCCCCAATCCCTCCTACTTCCCCTACACCTTTAGACCTTTTCTTCTATTTACACAATATCAATTATATATTTTTATCCTTCTTTCATTTGTAGTGTATATAACAAGATATAATAATATGCTTAAAAGAGAGACACTTTGTAGTGATCACAAGATCTCAGAACTTAGAGCAACCTACCAAGTTAAAAAAATCTCAGTGATACCAGTTACAATGATTATTTCATATACTTACAGACACACAAAGTATCATTATATTTGAGCTATAAAATATGATAATTGTGCTCAGTTCATTAGAATCTTGTAGAAATTAAATGAGTTTAGATTCAAACATGTCATTTTAATTCTAAAAGAGGAAGAGAAAGGAGAGGTGATGTTAAAAAGCATTGAAGAAATTCATGTGTATATCCACATGAAATTAAATGCATACTCTAAATGGATACCACCCATATGTATCATGGTATCATTCAAAGTAAACCAGATATGAAATTAACTAGGCACCAATCAGTGGAAGAATAGATAATTAATATATATCATATGTGCCTATTAAAACATTGTTCACTTATATTGATGAAATCTGTCACAGCAGCATCAATGGAACTGACAGAAATGATTGTAAGGGAGGGCAGGGACAAGGGCAAAAATGAGAACCAAGACCTGTCATATAAAGGTACAAGATTCCAATAATGAATGTAACTGCACTGTATACCTAAAATGTACCAATAAACTCAATGAGGAAAAAAAAAGAAAGATATGATTGTAAGTGAAATGAGTCACACACAGAATAACAAATACTGCAGGTCCTTATGTGTAAAAGCTAGAAAAATTGATCACATAGAACAAAAAAAATTAAATAATGGTCTCCCAAGACAGGGGGAAAAGGGATAAGGAGAATCAGTGAAAGATTAGAAAACATGTACCCAAACAATATCAGATCTGTGGAATTGGTCCTGATGATCTACAGCACAGTAGGATAAATGCAGTCTATACCAACCTATAGTCAACTTCATAGTAAGAAGAAGAGTCAAAAGTGCCACATCTGTGAGAATTAAATATTTGAAAAGCTAGAAATACTAAATATAGGTCACTAATCTATATGCATATATCAAATTATCATACAGCACCTCATGGTTAGACTCCACTATTAAGTCTAAACTATACTAAAATAAATGAAAATAAGATTGTAGGTTTGTTGCCGCTGAAACAGGAGGTGAACATTCTCCCTCTGTCCAACTTTTTTTTTCATTTGCTCCTAATGTAATTGGTTCCAAAGTTTCTCTCCAATTGATGTGGATCCCTTTTTACTTACAACTGTTATTTGTATTCTGGCCTCTGTTTTGTGAATCATATTTAGATTTGAAAAGAACTTTGACTCATGACAGGATTATATCCTGAGAAAACCATTGTAAATTGAGCTTACATAACTCCAAAAAGCTTTCAATGAATATAACATACTGAAAATACTTGGTTAGTGACAGAGTGTGCTTCTAATCTCAGGTGGTTTTTCCATATGTTAATGTAGCCAACTGGGAACTGACTTGCTACAGGTACCTAGTATTTTGGAAAAGTATTACTAGTATTACTAATGAGAATAAAGGAAAAAATTTAGAGTACAAATTTCTTGGAATCAGTTATTCTCCATCATAAAAGCAAGAAAACATGTCAAAACATCATGTGTTGTATTTATGTGCATATTGTGTGCAGAAAGACTTTCTCTGAAATTACTCTCATGGCTAAAAGCACACACACCCATATGCACACATGCACATACAGAGAGCACAGTGTATGTATTTTATGTTCATCTTACCTCCAACCACATAACTAGAAATAAATTGATACCAAGCAAATTAACACTATCTGTTTAAGCTCTCCCTAAAAGTATAGAAATAGATCCTATAAATTCCAGTTCATCCAGCTCATCTTTAATCATATATAACTACAAAACCCCATTTTGTTATGTGCACTATCTGTCTTGTGTTTACAAAAACAAGCATTTCTCAATAAAGGGATGGGGTTTATGTGGAATCAAGGAAGGAAAAGTCCTTATAAGTATAGGTTGTCCCTGAGAGACAACAAGGGAAAGCATGTTTTCATCTTTCTAGCAGAATTCCAATCTCAGGTATATGCTTGTGGTGTCCAGCAAAAATATTTTTAAATGCTTTTTTTCCAAATGACAAAACAAGTTTTTGGTATAAAGAAACATACAGTCTAAATACCACAACTGAAAATAAAGAGCAAATTTAGAAAAAAATACAATTCACAAATGAATTTATAATGAAGAACAAAATATTTTTTGGCATTTTGCATGAGACACTAAAAAATTTATCTTTCCGGTGGAAAGGGTGCATTCAATTGAACAAATGGTCTTTGTATAATTTAATAACGGAAAAGAAAGTTGCCTTTCCCATTTTTTCTGTGGGGTTCTTCCTTTGTTATTCTTATGCTTTAGATCTAAATCTCCTTTAAAATATTCTCTCAATTTTTAACTGACAAAATAATTATTTTTGAAGTAGTGTAACATAGTTCAGTTCTCTTAAATATGTGTCAGTCACCTATGGATAATTGACATTTCTTTCACCTTAAACATTTATTACTCCTTCATTTGGGAACATTCAAAGTCTTATGTTCTAAGTATTTTGAAATACGCTATTAGTAGCTGTCAACCGTAATAACCCTACTATACTGTAGAGCACAGAAATAATTCCTGCTATCAACAGTCTCCTTTACTTATTCATCATCTTCTCTCCATTCTCTCTTCCTGCACACTCTCCAGCCTCTAGTAACCATGATTCTAATTCTTTCTTTTATTCTAGATATTATATTGGGAATATCAATCTGTGCACTCTAGACCTAGATCTGGTATTCAGACAACATTCACTGGTTTCTCACTGCCATACATATAAAATTGTGCACAAAACATGAACATTTTCAATGAATAAAATTCTCTCTGTGATACGTCCCTAGGACATTATATCAAATGCATATTTACTTGTTTATACTCTTTCCTAGCTATTACAATGTAAGAGCAATTGAACTGGGATATCACTTGCTCATCTTTCTTTTCAAAATGATGTGTGATTGTATGTGTATTATTTAGGAAAAATTGAAGAAAATGAGGAGCTTTGAAGTAAAAGCAATTGTGAGGGAAGAGTCCACATTACAAAGTGTTTATAAAACAGTTGCATTAAATAAATTCGAATGAACCACTGAACATGTACTAAAATTAGATATGAAACAGCAATAAGTTAAGAATATCAATATAAGTTTATAATTGTATTGGTAAATATCTAGAGACAAGATTATACATTATGCAGTGGTTTTAGAAGGTTCTGGCACATAAGGATCCTAGGTCAAATGAGGAATTTCATTCCATATAGATGGATGCTTATTATAAGATTTATTGTAATTAACTTCCTTACAAAATATTAAATGA